ATCAAAGATTCAACCGTCTCACATATTGAGACCCGTGGGACGACCTCACACAAGTTTTTGTCTATAATAATAATAATAATAATAATAATAATAATAATATTATTATTATTATTATTATTATTATTATTATTATTATTATTATATATATTATGTATTATATATTTTGTATTAGGGGTATTTATGTCTTTTAAACATATATTTGATTTCTATTCCTTAAGCTAACCAAACACTTGAATAACATTCTAAAGTATATTTCTTCAGTGAACCAAATAATAGAATACAATTCTTATTCTATTCCTTACCTATTCCATTCCTTATGGAATAGCATCCCTATTACCTCAAAATTCATTCCGTGAAACAAACGTGCCATAATAGTATATGAGTGTTTTGGACGAAAAGTTAAAATGAAGGATTTTATTTTTATTAATAGTATAGATTTTAAATTATAGGGGTCGTTTGGTAGGTGGCTTTCTCCGAGGATGAGCATTTTTTAAATAGAATTCCAAAACGGAGAAGATTTCAAATCAAGACAAAAGAAGGAATCACGCACTCGAAAAAACCGTGCTAGCCAAAAAAGCATAACACAGCACACTTGGGGCCGTGATATGCATTTCTAATTTCTACTCACAATGCTTTACTGCTTGGTTCGTACGTATATATAACTATTAATTAAATTATTTAATTTATTTAAAAATAATTTCAATGATTATTGAATAATTAAATTTCTTTAGAATTTGAATTTGTTATAATTATTAGTAGGGATTAGATAATAAGTGCCAAGCACTTTGTGATCAAATGGCATGTAATGACCTCTCCAATGTGAGAGGTCATGAGATCGAGTTTTAGTGGAGAAGCGTCATTAGGTTGAGAAAGTATATTTGAACATATACTACATAATAGCGTCAGTAGCATTACAGATACTACCTTGTAATATAGTCATAGTATTTGAAAAAAAGTTATTTAATATTACTTAGTAAATATTTTGTATTTTTAATATTGCATTGTGGAGCTAAAGTTTTAGAAATATAATAAAATTGGTAGAACTCTTTTTTTTTTATTAGTGGAAGGGGGGAACCCAAGTAGACGTATATTTGTTTAACTAGAACTAATAATCTCACGCCATCTTGGCACACCAACACTATCATCCTCAATAAGTCCTAGAACTTCATCAGGTGGCTTCCATATAATATGCAGACCGAGCGGGTGGCGAGTAGAGATCTTCGCAAGGTAATAGGAACTAGTACACATGGAATCCAGTAAGGATAAATAGTGGGCTCATCACAAGGCCCATAACTACATCCTTAAAGCATCAATGGTGGAAGAAACAAGAAAGTCCAATAAAAATTCCATTCGATAGAGGAAAGCATTATTAGTGGCCCGTTTCAAGTGATGTCACAGATCGAAGACAATGTTTAGAAGATTCGAGGTCGAATCATTTTTCAAGAAGGTGAGGATGATGTGGCCCAACATAATGAAGATCCATTAAGAGTACAAATTGGGCCAATCACAAGATCCAAATCAGCTTTATTATTTGTGGTCATCATTATTTTAAATTGTTTGGAATTAAAGATAAAACACTAGTTTGTATTTAGAAATGATTCCTTAAATTCCTTTCTAAATAGGACTATTTTTACTTTCTTTCTAGATTAGGTTTAGGACTCTTTTTGTATTTAGAAAAGGATTCCTTAAATCCCTTTCTAAATAGGACTATATTTACTTGCTTTCTAGATTAGGTTTAAGACTCTTTTTTCCATTGTATTTAGGATTACAATGTTGCCCTATACCTATAAATAGGACACATCCATATCAGTTTTAAAGAGACTTTAATTCAATAAAATTCTTAAGTTTTTCTTTACACTTGTGTAAGAAACCTATGGCTAATTGTGGACTCAATTAGTGGCTAGTCGTGGACTCGACTAGCAAATTGATTCGTGGACTCGAATCAATCATCCTTTCTTCAACCTTAGATTTAGGTTCGTGGACTCGTTCTTGAATCAAAGGAAACTAGATCCGACTCTAGTTGATTGAAGATTGCATCATCGAGGTACTTGAAGCTACAATGTGATTCTTCAAAGTCTTTGAGGATTCGAGACAAAGGGTTTCTCGTGAGGCTTAAGGTATTTTGATCCATCTCTATCTTAGTTTTGAGTGCATTCTTGGGACAATATTCCATCTTATTTGAACCTTGGACTAGATTCATATCAATTTGGTATCAGAGCCTAGGTTTATCTCATTATCCTTAGAAATTTGGTCTTGCATATCTTTCTTCCATACTTCTTTTTGCCTCCCTTTTTCTTTCAAATCTTGTTTAGTTTCGTTGGTTGTATAATAGAATATAAAAGGGGTTCACGTGTACCACAACCAATTAGGAATCTATCAAGAACTCCTTCCAACCTTATACTTTTCCCCTTCCTTGTCCCTCCAAAATTCTCCTACCAACCAAATTCTTTCCCCAACCTTATTCTTCTTCTTTATAGCTTTCTCTTTTTTGCTTCTTTTTTTTCAACTTTTTTTTTGATAAATAAACTCCAAAAATTACTTTAAATATCACAAAAAATTTCGGACCAAGAGGATCCACACAACCCCTTCAAAACAGAATCAAGAATTACAAGAATCACCCAGAAAAACATAAACGCTAACCTTACTTCGAAGATCAATATCTCAATGACCGTAAGGAATTAGAAATTTTATAATATATCAATATAACTCCCCAGAAGAGATCTAAAACATATCAAAATTTCGGATAAAACTAACCAGTGGATCTCTAGATATAGGTCATTCTTTGAAACTGGTCACAGAATGCGAAAATCTGGACAGGGTATGATTACGAAGTGATTGCGCGTAAATGCACTTTGGATATAGGTAAGGGTGAGATGGGGTTGTTTTCTTGACAGCATATGTGGTAATATGGTGCTTAGGAGGTGTGAGGTCTCGTTGATATTCGACGGGAAAAAGGGAAAACTCTTTTGGGATTGTTTTTCAAGAAACTAAATAACATGTATCAAGATTCAAGAAAATAATCAGGAATGCAAGGGAAAATTTTTTTGTGGTTTTTTTAATGAATAATACACGAAAAAAAGTAGTATGTAAGATAAGAACGAGATAAACCTAGGGAACCAAAGAAACCAAATTTCTAACGATAATGAGATAAACCTAGGCTCTGAATACCAAATTGATATGAACCTAGTCCAAGATTCAAATAAGATGGAGTATTGTCCCAAGATTACTCTCAAAGCAAAGATAGAGATGGATCAAAATACCTTAAGCCTCACGAGAAACCCTTTGTCTCGAATCCTCAAAGACTTGGAACGAGTCCACGAACCAAAATCTAAGGTTGAAAAAAGGATGATTGATTCGAGTCCACGAATCAATTTGCTAGTCGAGTCCACGACTAGCCACTAATTGAGTCCACAATTAGCCATAAGGTTTCTTACACAAGTGTAAAGAAAAACTTAAGAATTTTATTGAATTAAAGCCTCTTTAAAACTGATATGGATGTGTCCTATTTATAGGTATAGGGCAGCATTGTAATCCTAAATACAAGGAGAAAAAGAGTCCTAAACCTAATCTAGAAAGCAAGTAAATATAGTCCTATTTAGAAAGGGATTTAAGGAATCCTTTTCTAAATACAAAAAGAGTCCTAAACCTAATCTAGAAAGCAAGTAAACATAGTCGTATTTAGAAAGGGATTTAAGGAATCCTTTCTAAATACAAAGTAGTGTTTTATCTTTAATTCCAAACAATTTAAAATAATGATGACCACAAACAATAAAGCTGATTTGGGCCTTGGATCTTGTGATTGGCCCAATTTGTCTCTTAATGGATCTTCATTATGTTGGTCCGCATCACAAGGGCATCCGCTACTTGGTTTTGATCCCGAACTATTTGCTCAACCTGCCAAATCTCCATGTTTCGTAGTTCCTTCTTACAAGCCTCTAGGATATTGTGAGCCGCAATTCTCGGTCTATCAGCTCCATTCATGTACCTTGTGATCTCCTCTGCGTCACTTTCGAACACTGCCCTTCTAAAACCCATTGATGTTGCTACTTGGATACCTTTTAAAAGGGCCCAGGCCTCAGCTTCTAGTGGTGAGCAATTGCCAATGCTATAAGTGAAGCCCATCTGCCATTCCCCAGAGCTATCTCTAATAATACCCCCACAGCTAGCTTTTTCTGTGGATGGATTTACAGAGCCATCCACATTGACTTTCACGAGCTCCTGCGAAGGTTTAATCTAGCATAGCTGCTTCCAAGATGCCTGGTCTGGATAGGGGGAGACACCCTTCGCCCTTCGAAAGGCCTTACTAATCTCATCTAAGTGTGATTTGATCCAGGAAGTCTTGATGCTTAATGATTTCTTGGCGTTATTGAAGATTGCCTCATTTCTCCTCCTCCAAAGCCACCATGCCGTTACAGCAAAGAGTACCCTACTATCATGGGGATGTCTGCTATTCCTTCTTTCTGATATGCCTTGTTCCAGTCATCTTTCGAAAGGTATGGAGGCGCGAGTTGCGTGTGAATCTGGCTTCATTATCTTCCAAACAGCGTCTGCCTCTGGGCATGTTCTCAGAACGTGTTCCACGTCCTCTACCTTGTCCCTACAGCACCAACACCTATCATCAAGGCATATTTTCCTCTTGACTCTTTCACTGTTGGTCATTATCTTACCATAGACAGCAAGCCACATGAAAGTGCGAATGCGATTTGGCACTTTTAACTTCCAGATACTGTTCCACTTGGTTGCCTCCACTCGGCCAGTTTCTCCTATAGCTATGTCGTACGCAGAGCTGACAGAGAAACATCCTGATGACTCCATGCTCTAACTGATGGAGTCTTACTCCTCTTGGTCATCGCTCAGAATGACACCGGCTAGTCTGTTCAGGACCTCTGTCAGGAGGAGGTCATCGAACTGGTTCCATAGCCATCCTTCCTCAGGGTTCCAATAGCTGGCAACACTTCTGCTTCGCTCGGAGATCGGTACATTACTAATCGGTAATTCAATCAGTGGACTATCATGGACCCATCTATCGTTCCAAAAAGATGTATCTCTGCCACTTCTGACTTACTTCCTAGTTCCTTTGTGGAGGATAGAGTTTTGACTCTTCTCTGCCTCCAGTTTGAGCAGTCAGCGCCTGTGATCGCGTATTTGGCATTGAATACTCTGGACCATAAGCTTTCCTCATTTTGCATTAGTCTCCATCCAAGCTTGGCAAAGAAGGCTAGATTCATTTGCTCTAGTTTACGGATGTCTAATCCCCCGTATGCCTTGCTCTTTGTAACAACGTCCCATTTAACAAGATGGCACCTCCTTTCTCCATCCTTGCTTCCCCATAGGAAACTTATAATTAACTTCTCAATAGCTGAGATTACACCTGCCGGTATCAACGTTGTTTGCATGAAGTAGAAAGGGATCGAGGTCAAAACGGATTGTGCCAAAGTGATTATGCCATCCATGGAGAGCGTTCTGGATTTCCACCCCCTTTTAATCGGGATTGTATTCTTTCCAGCACACCTGCAAAGGTTTCACTCTTGATCTTTCCATGGATCGAAGGGATGCCCAGATAAATGCCCATATTGGAAACAATTGGAATTCCAGCCACCGCAGCGATCCTTTGTTGGAGACCATCCTCAGTATTCTTTGAGAAGAATAGGGTTGACTTCTGGAAGCTAAGTTTCTGACCCGAGCATGTGCAGAATGTGTCAAGACACCGTTTCATCTCCAGGGCTTGCTGCTCCGTTGCTTCGCCAAAAAACACTAAGTCGTCTACAAAAAAGAGATGGGAAATATAAGGCCCTTGCCTAGAAAGTTTTATACCTTTCCAACGCCCATTATTAACAGATGATTGAATAATATGACTTAGTCTTTCGATACATAAAACAAAGATAAGAGGTGAAATAGAGTCTCCCTGGTGGATTCCTCTTCCAGGCTTAAACCATTCAGTTTTCTGGCCATTTCATAAGACTGCCAATTTAGGGGATAAGACACATTCCATAATGCGTTTTATCCACATATTATTAAAACCAATGTCTTCAACAGTGTCCTTAATAAAGTCCCATGATAGTCTATCATAGGCTTTTTCCAAATCGATCTTCATTGTCATCCAACCCCCTTTTCCTTTCTTGTTCTTCATGGAATTGAGCACTTCTTGATAGATTAGAATGTTGTCTGAAATTTGTCTTCCTGGGACGAAGCTAGTTTGATGAGGGTCAATCAGTTTCCTTGAGATGCTTTTCAATCTAGATGACATGATCTTGGTTATCAGTTTGTTGGAGACATTGCATAGACTTATCGGACGAAATTGTTTAACACAATTCGGATTGGGAACCTTTGGTATGAGTGAAAGCAGCGTGTCGTTGCAGTCAGCCGGCAGTATCCCAATCTCGAAGAACAGCTTCACACAAACGAGGAGGCTCTCACCAACTATCCGCCAAGCTTTTTGGTAGAAACTGGCAGAGTATCCATCAGGCTCGGGAGCTTTACACGGTGCCATTTCAAACAGATTCCTCTTGATTTCTTCTAGGGTTAGGGGCAAATCAAGCTCATTCCAGTCCATGTCATTTAATGGTGGAGAACAACTAGACTGTAGAGGTTGGGGGCTCGTCCCTGCCTCTTTCGAAAGAGGCAAACAAAATAGCTGCGTACGTGGTTTAGAAGCTTATCGTGCTCCGTAATGACATGCCATCCTCGTCTGTTAAGATTTCAACTCTTGCGTGGTTACCTTTAACCGAAGTTGCTGCATGATAGAACCTTGTGTTCCTATCTTCGGATGTTATTCATTCCTCTCTAGAGCGTTGGAACCAAATGAGTTCCTCCTGGTAGAGGGTTTCATCCAGTTCCATCTGCAGTTTCCTGTCTAATCTGATTAAGTTGGACCTCGTATTCTGGGTGATCCTTCGTTGTATGCCCTCAATCCTTGTTACAAGCCTTTTTTCCTTTGGAAAACGTTACCAAAGGTGTCTTTATTCCAGCTAGAGAGAGCATCTGCTACCTTCTTCTTATTTGACTCTAAATCAAGATTTTTGTTCCAATTTGCATCCACCACCGCTTTGAATGTAGCGTGTGTTGCCCAAGCCAAGTTGAACCTAAATGACTTTAGCATGCCGATCTCCTGGTTCATCTCAGTATTGACCAAAAGATGAGAGTGATCTGACCCGATAATAGGGAGATGTCGTACGCTAGTGTTGGGGAATTGCAGTCTCTAGTTGATATTGCTAAGAGCCCTGTCCAACCTAGCCCCTTTAAAAGAATTAGAATTAATGCCCCTCATCCAAGTAAACTTGGAGCCCGTATAGCCAAGATCCACTAACCTTTCCTTGAAGATCCATTCGCTAAAGTCGGAGCACCTGGATTGGTTGAAGCTTTATGCGTTACTGACTTCTTCTCTACATGTGACAAAGTTGAAGTCTCCGACTGCCATCCAAGGCCTTTGAGAATCAAATGCATTCCCGGAAAGATCCGAAAAGAGCATCTTCCTCAACTGATGATTTGGGCTCCCGTACACCATGGAAATATACCAGGGTTCCAAGTTTCTTTCCACCACTTGAACAGAGATGAATTGAGGATGGGTGTTGATAATACTGATATTGACTGATTTCTTCCATAGCAACCAGATACCACCTGAGAATCTTACCGCTTCAACCCTGATCCACTCATCAAAGCCAAAACTTGAACAAACTTTATTAGCAGGGTTACCCGAAACTTTTTGTTCTAGTAAACATATAAAAGATGGACAATGATGAATCAAAAGCAGTTTTAGGGTGCGCATAAACGAGTTGGAGGTCGCACCCTGACAATTCCAAATGAGAAAAATCATTGGGTAGAAAAGGGAGCAACAGGCGCACACTGGCGTTGTCGACTCACGGCATCAGGATCAGACTAATCAAAATCTTTTTGCATTTCTTGCATGGCCTCAGCCGGAGGAATACCACAATTGGGTGCTCATGGTTTAAGTCCGGGGGTTCATGGCTGTAGCCTCCTTTGAGGCCAGTCATGGGGTCCGGGGGATCATGTCTATGGTCTTTCTCTAGTCCCATTCTGGGATTAGGAGGTTCATGTCTGTAATCCTTCTCTAAGCCATTTAGAGAGGAAGAGCCCAAGTAATCATCACTCTGATAAACTACCCTGCTCGAGATATTATGACCCTCATCCGAACCACAAACGAAAGTATGTTCCATTTCCGCTGCTGCTCTATTTGGGAGTCCCCTCTTCCTCCTCGTCCATGAAAAGTTCCACAACCCTTTAGTTGTCGCTGCCTATGGGTTTCGTTTTGATCTACAGTTCCTTGGACATCTATTCGTTGTACTGGTTCCTTCTATGGCCTATTGGTCCGGTAGTTAGTGCGAATCTGTGGTAACGCCACATTGGGTTGCTGGAGAGATACATTCGCAGGGTATGAGACCTGTCCTTGGTTGTTCATTTCTTCTTTTAAACCATCCAAGGCTGTAAATTTGGACTGCACAACTATATCTCTGGCCGACTGTCCTCCATTCATGGGGGACACATGTTGGTTGTCCCTAAAGGGAGCATTCACTTAACGGTTGGGATTTCTGCCATCGTTGCGTCTATCCTTCCGAGTAACGAGCATCCACATACCATACTTCTCCGCGGGTATTGTGCTAGTCCTTGCCGATTTATCTAGAATGCCTTCTTGTCCCTATGTCGTGTGCTCTACAGTCCCCCCGCATTGCTCCTGCCAGTGTCCATAGATTCCACACTTGAAGCACACCAAGTGGATCCCCTCATACTCTATGGGTCACTCAACTTCATCCAAGACAAATCTTGACAGAAGGGGCTTCGAGATGTTGACCTCCACACAAACTCTTGAAAATTTTCCTTTAGAGGCAAGGCTGGTGGTGCTGTCAATCTTTATGGGTCGCCCTATGCTTTTTGCAATCTTCTTGAGGAAGTCTTCGTCGAAGTACTCGATAGGGAGCGAGGGAAACCGAATCCATGCCAGTATCTTGTCCATCTTGTTGACTCTTGTGTCAAAATTGGGGCGCCATTCTTGGACTGTCAAATAGTGGTCGAAGATCATCCATGGCCCTCCGTATTTCGCATCTTCGTAATATTTTAGGGATTCGAATTTGGCGAGAAAGAAATCGTGGCTAAGTGAAATAAGTTCAAACGGAGATTCTGGTCTCCACATCCTCTGTAATCTCTGTGCCAGATAAGAGTAGTTCACAATTCTTCCTAAAATTTTGATGATTAAAGATCGGCGCCATGGCCGCCTCAGCCTTTCTTTCTCTTCTTTGGTGACTCGGATGACCCGATACTCACTTCTAGAGCCCTCTTCTTCCATCACGTCATCGTCCGAGACCTCATCTTCTTGTATCGGTTGCTTGCCTTCGCGACGCGACCAAGCTTGACTAGGTGTTACATCCAGCGTTCTCCACTGGCCGGAGTTAATTTGGGGTATCAGTGCCTTCTGCGGTAGTGCTTTCGTGGGCCAGTTCCTCCAGCCTTGGTGTGGCTGCCCCTTCAAGTGAATCACGCCCTCTTTTAGTCTTCTTGGTACTTCTTTCGAGAAGATCTTGGTCTTCCGGTGATCGGTTGGTCGCCGTCGGCGGGGGGGGGGGGGGGGGGGGGGGGGTGTGGGGGTGAGGGGGAGTCATTACGCTCTGCGTAAATTGTAGAACTCATTTAATGATGTCAGTATAATGCATCTGATGTTTTGTTTTTCCTTGTTTTCAACCAAAGAAATATTTTGCCACAAGTCCATGATAGTGTGTAAGGTAGAATAGATAACACGGCTTCTGTTACGTATTTCCCAAGACTAAGTATTTTCACCCGTGCGTTGCACGGAATAGATTTGTTATAATATTTTAAGAATATTTAGATCGATATAAAATTGTATAAATTATAACATCAAATATTATATAGTGCAATTGAAAAATTGAGTTGGATGGATTATGTTTTCTGATGTTATCATTGCTTGAATTGGAGCAAATAATTATTCAATTAATTGCTAACGTGTAGGTATACGCATCTGATGCTAAAACTTTAGAGAGTTTATATATCAGTGTTTAAGATTTGTATTAATTGGGCTAATTAGCTCGTTGCCTAGCAACTTAGTTGTAGAAATTATTTTGTACGAAAGATATATATTTTCTATGTAGATATATTGCAATTTTTTCATCTTTCTATTAAAAAAACATAATATCACTGGTTTGAATTACACATTATTAAAAATCTCTTTGTAGATGATATTGGTGGTAGTAACAGAATTTTGTTCATCCTTGTCTAGAGCTAAAACCTTCAGGCCATCAAGATGGGTGATTCGAGAAAAAACCACGTATACCTGAAGGGCAATCTCATATCAGAAGGGGTGAGAGACGTTCGGGGTGTAAGAACTTTGGTTCTTTTATGTGTCTCATTAACTATTTTTGTTTCGACAATGTGATCTGCCAATCTTGTAATGATGACGCGCGTACCGTTGCAAAGACCAAGAGAGTGGTTAATGTTCTGCAATAACATAACAGGTGCACCAACCTTTAATGTCAATGAATGATTAGGAAGTCCAAACAATCTCAAACTATTTAAGAATTCAGGACTGTGTACTTCAAATAGATTTTCACTGTCTTATTCTGCCTTACATAGGGGTTGCAAACTTCGGTAAATTTTTTGTTAACCGACCGAACCGAAAAAGTTAGGTTAACTGTTTTATAACCGAACTTTTTTCGGTTCGATTAATGGTTAAAAGTTTTTTAAAATTTCAGTTTACGCTTAATTTGGTTCGAAACTTCGGTTAACCAAATTAACTAAACGGTTAACCGAAATTTTAAATATATATAATTATATATATAAATAAATAAATATGTAATCTAATATGTAAAATCCCTATAAATTTGTAATGTTGTTAATGATATTGTTTTTGTATATTTTCTTATTAATTTATTATTATATGTATTATTTTAATTCGATTTATTATTATAGGTATTATTTTTAGGATTTAAAACTTTAGTTTTAAAAAGTTCAGTGTATCGGTTAACCGAAAAAAAACTTCGGTTTGGTTAATTCGACAATACAAAGTTCGGTTCGGTTAACGATTAAAGTTTTAAAAATTTTAGTTAAAACAGTTCGGTTAACCGATTGAACACCCCTAGCCTTACACAAAGAGTCACAACTTAAATATGTTCGATCTTTTGAAATGTTCATGTCGCACATGTAGTGATTAATTTGATAAACAGCATCTAAAGTCGGTGAGAGGATTGCTCGGCCTTCTAGGTGCGACTCATCAAGCATGTCATATCTCGCGCTTGGGAAGGTGTTTTCCACTATAGTTGCTATTAGATCGGGTCCACACTTCAACAAAAACCGTGCCAGAATATCGATCTTAGACAAACCGTCATTACAACCCCTGTAATCCCATTTCCAATGTCTACAAACCATTTTGAAAACCAATCAACCATTTGTCTATTTTCCTCTGAAGCTAAGCTCTGTAGTCTCAAGTTATTCGTGAGCCTCAATACCTTGCAATTTGTCCAAGGTAAGAAAAATTAATAGTGGCTCTGATAACTATTGGTCTCATTTCTTTCAGAATAACGGGAAGAATCC